CTTGAGCTATGGCGCGGCCTGTGAACGGGACGGTACGCCCTACGCAAGGGGGAGAGGTAAAGCTACCCTGTAACAGGCCGTGGAGGCCCATAAGGTTGTGAGACGTCGAGGCTCCCACATTTTCTAGGTAGTCTGCTCACAGGTGGCGGAAGGTTGACGCCTTTACCCCCAGGAAGATTCCTGGTACTCATTTCTGTTATAGTCTGAATCGACCCCAGGGCCGTAGTGCGGCTGGAAGGATTATGTAAATTGAAAGAAAAAACTCAATAACTTCATCGGGAATCGAGCCCGCGACTTTCCGGCTTGTAGCATAGTGCCTCAACCATCTGCGCTACCGCGTGCCCCATCTCGCTTGAGTAATAAGTATTTCATAAAAATAAAATAGATTTGCAGATCTGTGGGACTTGAGCGCATGGAGTAGACTGGGTTCGTGCCCTTTGCTCCAAATTTCTTGATGCGTGTTTTTTTGTTTATTTAGATGTTTGTAGTTTATTTAAAGATGCCTTCAGTAGCTCAAGATTACTTACCACGGAATGATTTGATGATAAGTGATTAATGAACTGTGTAAAAGATGCGAAAGGTCGTTGCCTAACGTAAGGTACTGTCCCGGCATTTGCCCGGAGGAAATGAGGAAAACTAATCTGGATATTCTGTCCCGGCCTAGATTCGAACCCAGCACCTCCTGAGTACTAGTCAACCGTTACCGTTCGGTCGATACGTAAGAGGGTCGGTGTTTTCTAGCTTTCGCCATTTCCGGGGATAAGTGCGGACTTTCTAGTAGCTGCTTCGGTAAAATGTGAAGTTGTCCCTGTGCTTAACTACTTAAGCAGTGCGCCATGAAGGTGTATGGGGGAGTGGATGTCTAGATCCATATTTTCTTGACCTCCGCACTAGTTGGAGGTGAGTAGTCAGCTTCACGTCTCGGCCGCCTTACTCTTAGGGAAAGCCTTCGGTGTGCATTGGATAGGAGGCTGGAGGGACCCCATAAGCGGTCTGAACGACGTGGAGATGAAGTAATCTTTCTCCTGCCAGGACTCGTACTCTGACCTCCGGACCATCGAGCCCTCAGCCAGTCGCTGTACGGACTGAGCTATCCCGGTTCCAACTGTTTCTGATACCAAACTATATAGTGTGGCGTATAGACCTGTTTCTAGGCAATGACCGAAAGAACGAAACAACATTCACTGCTAGACAGTAGATTTTAATAAGCAAGACTAGATTGCAGTTGCTAGGGAACGGCTGGGTGAAGACGTTCCCGTCGCAACGTATACACATGCAACAACAGAGGTTCTGTTGGAAACGGGGTTTTGCTACCGTGGTCCATGCAGAAGGGTTATAAGAAGGCCAACTAGAACAAGAATAGGCAAACCCGTGTGGAGGCGTGGTCGAATAAAAATCTGGTCGTAAGCCCGAAATGGGTGCTTTATTCCAAGACAGACTGGCCGACTGACCGTCGGTCGTAACTTAAAGAGTCGGACTCAAGAATAGGCAGTTGGAAGGCAGCCGCCATTCAGAGAGGACTTGAGCCCGGAAGCAGAAGAATAGCCATTGTTAGAAGACGTTACCCGGCAACTACAAGCGGTTAGTCGCTGGCTTCCCATCGCTGCGGCCCGGGTTCGATCCCGGGTCTGGTCAGGTGGGATTTGTGGTGGACAAAGTGACGCTGGGGCAGGTTTTCTCCGAGTATTTCGGTTTCCCCTGCCAATCTTCATTCCACCAATTGCTCCACAATCACCCTCACCTATCATCGGGGGATGGTACAATAGGCCAGAAGTGGCCGCAGTACAAGGGACTTAGTCCCACCGTACTAGCAATAAAAAAAATAAATACCGTGGTTTTGCAAAGTATGGAAATAGCGATAGTGTTACGGTTATTTGTAGTTACGATTTGTTAAGTGATCAGTGAATGCAATATCCAATCCGAACCCTGTCTTCAGATAACATCTGTCATCAGAAGAGAAGCAGTGGAACACCCTGTATGCATGTGCAGCTGCACAATTGCTGTATATCCAAAACACTCACTATAGGAATGTGCTTTTGGTGAAAGCAAAAACTCATTTTTATTTTGGTGGCAACAGAGCGTCGCGAATTTCTACTGTGGTGGTGATCTGTATTATTTCGCTCAAAAAAGACGGGATTAATCCGAGGGGGGGGGNGGAGGAATCGTAATCAAGCTAACCTCGCCGCCCATGACAGACGGTGTTTTGTGGCAATACACAGCAATTCAGTGCTAAAGGGAGCTATGTATATTAGGTTGCGCGTTTCGTTTATGCCCTTTTCGCATTAACTATACCCGACATTGGTTACTAGGTGGCCGCATTGTGTGCGTTGTTTCAAACAGAGATGGCAGCACACGATTGGATCGTGTGGGTAATAGTGAAACGTTTATTCAATTCAAAGTACGTATATTCATATTGCACTGATGGGCGGCTTCCGTGCGTTGGAAGTGGATAATTTTCAGACAGCAATTTCTAGAAGTTATTGAGACAGAAAAGTAACTACAACTAAAAAGGTCACGGGAGTAGATTTTTCTTTTGAAACTGATAGTCGCCCAGTTTGTTAAAACAATTCATTCCACGCCCTCCCAGTCCGTACCTTTAAGATTCACTGTAATATCCTCGCATTTACGTCCGGGTGTTCCCACAGGAGTCAGAGTCAGAGCTACTTTACGGCTGGAGGTTTACCCCCATTCAGTTCGTCTTGGCGACAAGCCCCTTGACCCTTTCGTTTACAGTTGCTGCTGGTCCCGACCAGCGCAAAGATTTCAGGTCCGGGTCCCGCAGAAACCATAACCACATTTGAATCTCAGATTGGAGATTCCACCAACCTAGAGGGCCAGGTCCCCATATTTTCATCCCCCAGGAACAGGGTGGCCCGATTATACCCCCAGGCAGTGGGTTTTCTTTCTGTCTTCTCCTACGACTCGCAGGGCAACGGTTGAGGTATTCGACCCCACCTCCACGGGTTTCCCACAGGAAGAAGAATGGTAGGCTTGTGAGAGACACTACATTGGGGGGGGGGGGGGAGGAAAATAATCTACCACTCTTGAAGCTGTCGGCGAGGGGCGNTAAGAAACTATATCTCCGATTTTGAAGGTTCCTAGGCAGTGCCCGCTTGTCCTGGTATAGGTAGAGCATATAAGCGGATTTTCTTAAACATTTTTTATGACTCTGGAAGGGGTGCATTATTGTAGTAATATTTTTTCAACGGCAAGCACGTAACATGACGCGCTAGGCAGAATAATACGGCTGGACAATCACTTTAAATCATTATTACAAAAATAATTACATAATTTCCGCTCCGTCGCAGCCTACGCATTTTCCAGACATAAATCCCACAGAAAGTCTGAAAGCATTTCTTATCTTCATTCAGTTCGTACCTCACAGGAAACACATTAGTCTCCAATACGAAGGCCAACCGGTTAATGTAGCTTAGGGAAATAATCGCTGTTTACTGTGAGAACCATACGGAACACACAAATACACTGTGGGCAGAATGCAGAGTTCAGTTCGTACATCACAGGAAACACATTACGTCTCCAATACGAAGGCCAACCGGTTAATGTAGCTTAGGGAAATAATCGCTGTTTACTGTGAGAACCATACGGAACACACAAATACACTGTGGGCAGAATGCAGAGTTCAGTTCGTACATCACAGGAAACACATTACGTCTCCAATACGAAGGCCAACCGGTTAATGTAGCTTAGGGAAATAATCGCTGTTTACTGTGAGAACCATACGGAACACACAAATACACTGTGGGCAGAATGCAGAGTTCAGTTCGTACATCACAGGAAACGCATTACGTCTCCGCTACAAAGCCCAACCGGTTAATGCTGTTTAGGGAAATAGTAGCTGTTTATTGTGAGAACCATACGGTACACATAAATACACTGTGTGGGCAGAATGCAGAGGTTTTGTATGTTAAAGCAGATGTGCCTTAAGGAGTTAGAACAGTGAAAAATACGCTATAGTTCGAACATACTGCCTCCATCTTCAGGGTGGAAGAGTACGTCAAGCGAGAAACGAGGAGAGGCAGGCGGTGCGGCAGTGTAGGCATGTACGTGTACGAACATGATGCATTCTACAGTCCTAACGCTGATCTGTTCACTGTGCCCCTGTGGCTGCCTGCGGACATTTGTTCAGTTTACAGGGTCTGACCCCATGAGGCAACTCGCGCTCCGCGGAGCGTGGCAGGCCATCCTGTTAGATGTATAGATGACTCCAGCTTGATTCACCCTCCCCCCCAACGTCGTTTGTGTTACTGTTTTGTGAAGGGGGCGTGTCCTCAATTCAACACGGCAATGACTGTTCAGTCTGATGGCCGAACAGGAGCCCACGAGAGTTATGGGATCACCGCTAGGGCCGCTAGTAGCATTCGGCTCAGGGAAAACTCACTTTTACCCTGAAGATGTAGGTACGATGTTCCTCCGAAACGACAGTACGCGTCTGCACGGTATGACAACAATGATCACCACAATGTGATCATTCTAACAGGCTCATTTCGTCCTTCTTGGGTCCACATATTTCCCTCCACACTATGTTTTCCGCCTGTTGTAATCTATTTTCCGCCCTCAAAATAAGAGATCAGGTCTCACACCATACAGAACAGTTGGCAAGATCGTTTTGTATGCCTAAACGTGACATTCGAAATATTAGAAAATGACGGGATTATAAGTTTTGGAAGCATGTAATATACATGTAGTTACCACATTGATTTGAGGGGTTAACAGCCGAACCACTTGGATAGACAGGATGCATTTAACTGAACATACCTCACTGGGTCTGTAGAGGTACAGAGAACGGAAAATCGGATAAAGAAACGTTCTGAGTTGAGGTTCTTAAATTATGATTAGCTTCTGCAAAAGTGTTGAGCCTCATTGAGTGAGTGAGGTTGGCAAGTTCTGCCCACCTCACTGCAACCTGCGCCTCGCGTCTGCGCGCACAACACAGTCTCTAAACGTCACGTAGTAATCGTATATTCTTATTTTACTTTCAGCAAAAAATTTCGTTCTGGTTCGCGACTGGAGGTGCGGGATTCTGTCTCAGTCGGTCCCTTGCCCTGAAGATGATACCTGTCGCCAGGTGAGTTGTACAATAGTCATTAATGCCGATGTTATGACCCAAGGGTTATGTACAAGTAGATATGTTTTTTTTTTGTGGGGGCAATTTGGAATAAGGGTATCTAGACTTTAAGATTAAGAAATAGAAATAATGAAATGTACCAGGAAGCTTGGGTTTGCAAAGAAGTGTAACAGGCAATCGCTTCGTAATCAGAATGTTATCACGACAGCGTAATAACGCTGACATTGAGGAAGAGGCTATATGAAGTGGGACAAAAAGAACTAGGGCATTAGAAAATCGCTGAGTCGGAGAGGGCGGTAGACCTGAAAGAGTCATCCCCCTTTCGATAAACAGCCAATGAGTGGGCCACACCGACCCAAAATCACGTCAGGATGGGCGGGCGAATACACCCCCGGAACCCAGCGAGTCAGCAAAAAGAGGGTACATAAACTCTAGAGGTATCGATCACAAAGATTATTATCATTAATTGTCAAAGAGTTCAGCCGGAGGCTATCGTCGAGAGAGAGATGGTGCCGAGTAGAGGTTGGAGTGGTGTGTGCCTGTTTCATCAGCTCAAGTAAGTGGACTTACTCATATAAGCCATGAACATTAAGTGTGATAATATTAAAGTGCAAACCCCAAAGGAGAGAAAGTGAAAACTAGATGGACTAGGTTTACAGAGAAAGAGAGACAGAAGTATAGGATACCCGGTAGCAGGGTGACAGGAGTGGAACTAAGGTGTACTACAGGATAATAACCCATATGTAACGCGAGCCGGCAGCGTCGGCAAATTGTGTATATATTATGTATATAGCGACATAGGTGAATAGAGTAGGATAGAAATGCGCTGTGATGTTAATTGAACTTAGCCTTCCCTCAAATGTTACCATCTTCCCTGAATGCTCCTGCATCTCCCGAATCCTTTAGGAGAATTGCAAACTCAAGCCAAGGCGGCAGCTACGTCAGTGAATTTACTTGAGCCCCCCCCCCTTACGGCATGACAAGATGGTGGCAGCGGCGGGATACCTGCACGCCCCCAAATCACCTCGGCATAATAATCGGTGGGAGCGGGTCAACGAATGGTTGGCTGAAGTAGTGAATTAATATTGTGTTTACCCACCCCTGCCATCGCGGCGTAATAAATGGTGACAGCGGTGAGATATCCAATCCACCCCTGTTGCAGAAGTATAATAATTGGTGTCAGCGGCGGGATACCTCCACGCCCCCTATCACCACGGCACAACAACCAACTAAATCTCTGGTAGCAGAAATACCAGTTCCCGTCTTTGAACACAATCCTGAGCTAGTTCCAGCCATCTCCCAGCCTCACGACCGTTTTCCCTAAAATCCACCTTACTAATTAACTAACTCTCTAGTAGCGGAACCCTGAACTTCAGCACCGCTCCAACTCCATTACAGTATTTTTTCCTCTCGCTTCCAATTTGGAGCATAGGGCTGATTTCTTAGTTTCATGATCGTTTTACAGACGGTAGGACTCCTTGGACGGGTGATCAAGGCCTCTACCTAAACACTGAACAACACAAAACATTCATGCCTTGTGTGTGACTGGAACCCACAGTCCCGGCTTCCAAGCGAGCGAAGACATTACATGCCATAAACCGCTCGGCTACCGTAACCGCCCAATTACTAATGACCTTCAAAGAAATAATCGCTGTTTTGAGAATAATACGAGAGACATAAATACACTGTGTGTGTGTGTGTGTGTGTGTGGGGGGGATGCAGTTTTTTGATTGGTGAAGTAGGTGGTAAATGTAGTTACCACTGTATTTTAAAAAATTAATTGTTCAGACCTTTCTACGTTACTAATCGCATGGCTATACCCAGGTGTTGTGAGCAAATCGAATTAGCTGGCAGTTGCAGTTTCAAAAGCTCCAGGAGAACAATAAAACCGAAGCACCCAATGTCGGCCCCTTTAATGCATGGTATAATATAAACATTAAAAGACGAGGCTACAGGAACAAGCAGAACGAATTGCTAATTAGCTTTCTAGCGACCGCTTCTAGCACGCTATCAATGGGAGCAGTGTTCAGAAGGTAACAGAAGAGCGTATCTTGAAGGTACACCTCACCACTAAATTTAGGACTCACAACGGAAGTACAGTCTGCACTTAAGAGGAGCTTCCGACAAAAGAAATTATAAATGCAATAATTAAGAGTACAATGGCCTCTACCCCAACAACAAATAAACAGATTTACGTACAGCTGTTCCCCGTTAGGTGAAGATACTCAAACTGGCGGTTATGTCTAAACTGACTGGTTAAACAATCCGTATTAACCCTTCCAAGACTGAATTTCTTTTAGATAAGAATGCATGCCGTACCTCATAGGAAACACATTACGTCTCGGCTACAAAGCCCAACCGGTTAATGATGTTTAGGGAAATAATCGCTGCTTATTGTGAGAACAATACGGAACACATAAATAATATATAAGAATTCAGTTCGTACCTCACAAGAAACAGATGCGAACCCACGATCCCGGCTTCCGAGCGAACGAAGACAGTTCATGACTTAGACCGCTCGGCTACCGTGACCGGCAGAAGAAAAAGAAGAAGAAGTGGTGGTGGTAGTGAGAGACACTACATTGGGGGGGGGGATAAGAAACTATATATACGATTTTGAAGGTTCCTAGGCAGTGCCCACTTGTCCTTCTGGTAAAGATAGAGCATATAATCGTTTTTTTTGCCAAGGTTGGGAGGGCTAATGAACACATAAATACACTGTGTGGGCAGAATATCAGAGTTCAGTTCGTACCTCACAGGAAACACATTGCGTCCCTGCAACAAAGCCCAACCGGTTAATGCTGTTTAGGGAAACAATCGCTGTTTATTGTGAGAACCATAGGGAACACACAAATACACTCTGTGGGCAAAATGCATAGTTCAGTTCATACCTCACAGGAAACACATTACGTCTCCGCTCCAAAGCCCAACCGGTTAATTCTGTTTAGGGAAACAGTCGCTGTTTATTGTCAGAACCATACGAAACAGACAAATACACTCTGTGGGCAGAATGCAGTGTTTTGGTAAGCTAATGCAGGTGGTACCACTGGAGTTCACGGGGTTAAGGATTCACACACTGCATGATAATTAAATATATGTAAATTGGATCAAAAAATTCGCGACGACGGTACATTAATACAATTTTTTTAATGTTTCGAAAACTGGATTGTCCTCGTCTTCAGGTAAAACCTACTGAGCTGGGATTAATCGATGGAACTAGTCCTTATCTCCGGACACCTGCACCAACACAACACAGGATATATAAACCAAGCGCAGCACAAAACATCTGCGAGAGTTAAGAAAACATTAGAAACATTAAAAAGAACTCCACACAGAAGGCCTAGCACCTATGTCCATGCACTGTTTCAAGGCCGTTGTTGTTAAAATCAGTTCTATCAGTACATAATTCATCACTAAAGAAACAAATTCCCTGTATTGTACCAACATAAAGACAGTTTTCCCACATATTCTACACTGGACGGAGTTGTAGTGTTCTGACTTCTGCTACGATAATTGGAGTCCAGATGGGAGAGATGTCCAGACTGGGTTGACAGATCCGATGGTCCAGCAGAGACATGTGGGCTGATTCCTTGTACTTCCTGTATGTGGTGTTGGACTCAATTTTGTGGCCTTCTTCTTACGAATGTTGGGCTAATTTGCATTTTTCAAGCAAACCTTGGGTCAGGTTATATTTGTGCTCCATAATGCATAGATAGGGACTCCCTCTGTTGATTGAGGTTCCACCTGAAGACTGAGACAATCCAGTCTCCGAAACGCTGTTGTGTTTCAACTAAAAGCAGGACGATGGGTGATGTCTAGAAACAGTAATTTTATATATAAATTGCTTAATATTTACCTGAAAGTCGTGCTGTAATAGGACTCTACATTGAAAGAAAGAGAGAAAAAGGAATCATATTATTAAAGCGAGACTTTCTGTTTCGTTTTGTTTTTCTTTGTTTGCGTTGTGGAGGCCATGAAAGATTAACGACGAGTGTACAGGATATGAGACACTGTTTTGTTTTTCTCTACAACTTCTGTTCCACATATTTTCGTCCAGATGAATATTTTTCGAAATGTGAAGTCGTAGTTAAACATGTCCCATCTAAATGAAAATCGAAGTGGCTGAACAATTTTTCATACAATTCTTAAGCATCAAAATTTTATGAAAATCCTCCCAGAGGTTCTCAGATTGTTTCCCGCGTTCGGGGCACACTAGACAAATTTTATGAACGTTCTGCAGGATCGCAGGCGCGCCTAAAGGGGGGGGGGATTAACACGTAAGGAAGTGAAATTGTCTTCTGTGATGTGACGGCATATAGACAGATCGTTACCGGCGTTTGGAAGAAACCCGCTGCTTCCGTCTTCAGGGTAGAGGATTAACCCTTACATCCCACAGCTGGGGGGACAGCGGATTTCCTCCCAGACGCCGGTAACGACGTAGCAGCCCACACGGCGTCGCCTAGAACACAGTAATCTTCTGTTCAACGGAAATCACTCCACTACGACGAGAATTCCATCGCTTCTAATCATGTGCATAGAAATGGGCGGAGAATGTAGTACGCATGGTATTGGACGTTGCAATCATCACAACTTTAGCGTAGAAATTTAGGCCCTCAGATTTGTAATCCTTAGGTTTTATTTTCCTGAGTCCTCCTGGGCCAGTGTTGGATAGTCCCTCGGATTAGGCCACGACCAATTCCTTCCGCGTCCTTTCTAGTTCTTTATATTGTCACGATTTTGGGGTGTGACTATGGACGGGGTTCGGATTGGTGAGTTGGATTTATTAACCATTTATACACACGACTCGTAACTACAAGCAGTTACAACTCTATCGCTGATGTCCACACTTCACAAAACACCACCTGCAGTATATTCACAAGTCGTTGCTTGGTAACAGCTCTCAGCAATGGAGATTCGTCAGCTTTTGTGCTCAGGTCCTTAGGGTCGGGCGAATGTCCCGCAGCGGAACTCACTCAGCCTAAGTCCAAGTCCAAGTCACA